TCTCTAGGCATTTCTACTCTGTCCTGCTTACTCTGTTACCAGCATAACCAGTTTTATGTGGTGCTGGGGGTCAAACCCTGGGCTTCATGCATGTTAGACAAGCGCTCTACTAACCGAGCTCGAGTGCCAACAGCTTGTTCGTTGTTTTCTTTTGGGGGGTTGGGGGAAGAGCCCCTAATAAATGTGTAGAAAGGAAGTTGGGCAATGAACACTGCAGACACACACATTTCCTGATCTAATAGGCCCCAGCAGAAGCCTTGTAGGAATAAGCATGTGATCTAGGAACTCGTACCAGCTGCAGGGTTGCTCCGAAGCACATCTGGATTTGCCATCTCTCTTTATCTAATGCTTTTTCCAGCCACCACAGACAGGAAACAAAGTGTCCTGGTTTAAGAGGCTCTGACGTCCTGAGAGGTTTGCTTGGGGCTCTGTTTTCTGTATTTAAAAATATCTGTATTGCACATGTCATTTTTTGCTCCCACCTACCTTATTTTAAAAATGTTTTAATGACTGATCCATAATTCATTTGTCTCTATATTCAGCCAAATGGATGTTTTATACTGTGATATCAGGTGACTCAAGAGAGGCCAGCCATTCTGGACACAGTCCCAAGTTTGTCTCCATAAGACTAGAAGTTCACACCTTCAGCTATAGGGTCTGAAGCTAAGAGTCTTCAGCAAGCTAAGATGGCACAGTCTTCATTGGAAAAGAGGCTAGCCACCTACTCAGTGAGTTTCTGTAGTAAAATAGTCGTATAGTCATTCATTGCCCCCAGAGGACTAGAGTGCACACAGGTGTCCAAGAAAACAGACAGTGTACAAGAAATTTTACCAATTGTTCCAGGCTTAGTGACTCACGCCTCTGGAATCTTCCTCCTGACCCATGAACTTTGGTCACCTACTTTTTCATAAGTACTTCATAATCTATAAGGCTTTCTTTCTTATTGAACATATCTGATTCTCCCTACTCCCCAAGAGAACTGAGAACAACCATGCCAATGACAGAGAGGCACGGTTACCATGGATACTGATCGTTCTATTGTTCTGGATTGTTCTAGCTGCTCAGGGCCCTTAGCATCAAATCTGTAGAGCCCTCCATGGTAGAGTCTGTTTGTAAGTAAAGGGCTATTTTACTTCTGGAAAGAAATACACTGTCAAGAAGTCCTAAAAGTGTCTCAAGCTGAAAGAGAAGTTGGGGGAAGACAAGTAAAATCTGCTTCAATACATTCTTAACTTAAGAGCTAGAATTTTCTAAGCCTAACCCTAGCCTTAGCTCTAACCCCTAGCACTAACTTTTAACCCTAACCCCTAGTTCTAACTCCTAACCCTAATCTTAGTCCTAAATCTAACCCCTAGCCCTAGCCCTGACCCTGACCCTGACCCTGACCCTGACTCTGACCCTAACCACTGAGTTCTTAGGGTTGGACCGAGCAAATCCTAGTTCTCAAGGCATGCTTCTGAGATTCATGGCTGAGGAAATCTCATCAAAACTGGTGCAGTTTTCTTCCACTCTCTTATTGGGGATATCTGGAGCACTCTTGTGGAGATGCAAGCCTGTAGGAGGTCATCTGTAATACTGAGATGTATTCCTGTCCTCCAAGTAATCAGTGAGTCCGCAAGGTCAATACCTAGCTTCAAAGTCAAGGTTGTGAGGGGCCAGAAAAAAGGCCAGGAGAAGCCTGAACACAATATACATACTGTGTGCCATCACTTCTCTGCACACGTTGACACACCCACCCACCAGTGATGCCTATTTGGCTCGTAAATGCCTCTAACATGAGATGAATGCTCATTCATAGCTTCAAAGTGACAAGGGAGTTTAGAGTTTTGTAATCACATCGTCCCAGTCCCTTCCCTATTTGGAATCTGATTACGATATTTCTGGTGGGGGGGCAGAGATTTTCTTTTTGAACTCCTCCATCAATAAGAAGCTCACATCACACAAAGGAAGATTCGTCTGGGGGCAGGAGACTGCCTCAGCTGAAGCCTGCATCCCATCCACCACCTTCCTCTGTCTTAGCCTTCTCTGGAAGTTGGAACAAACTGTAAACATTTGTCTCCATGGTAGCACTCTAAATATTTGTAAAGAACTGACAAAGGATCCCCCAGTATCTCTTCTTAACATAAAAAAAAAACCTTCATTCCCTCCTAGGATGTAGTTTCCAGACCTGTCTCTTGGCCCCTCTTGTGGGTGACCTGGTTAAGAGATGGACCCAGAACTGAGCCAGTGAGTTCAGTGACACAGCACTTGCAGAGATTAAAAACCCGTGCCTTTCATTCATCCTGCTGTGACTTCACTCTTGTGCCTGATTTCTTTCACCTAGATACTGGATTGTCCAGTCAAAGTCCCTTTGACCCCAAACTATAACACATCTTACATTTTAATAGATAGCTGTCACATTTGGGACCTATTATTTCAAAGTAGTGTAGTCTTCCTAAATCTTCATTTCATATATTCCAGAGATCCCTCCTAGTGTGATAGCTTTCAGTACTTTTTTTCAGTCCACATTCTTGTTTCCAGGCAGACTCCTCATGCTTCATGTATAGACAGGAACAGAGGCACAGGGCACATCACTAGAGACCATTCACTGTGCTCAGACAAAATTAGTCACCAGTTCTCTAGGGAATCCTTAATGTCCAACAATACCATCTAACTGCATATCCACCAAACCTATGGCTCACTCATTCACCCACAATGATTTAATAGGGGCCATTTCTTTAGCAAAGAGGAATGCTTCCATGACTTCAGTTACTGACATGAGGCATTTCGGAGAAACGTCCCAGCATCTCGCAAACATCCTGTGTAGATGGTCTGAGCATGGGCTCTAACCACGAAACTCAGCATGTAGGAATCTTCTTGAAACTCAAGGGTTCTCCTTAGGCCTCTTGAATCTAGGGCCAACATGACCTACTTTCAGTGGACACAGAAGGGAGGTCCCAGAGGACAGCTCACTGACTGAGGGTTCATTCCTGTGTGTCTATGGCTAGACAAGGTAGCCTTCCCCTGGCTTGTATCACCAAACTGGTCTGCATGACAGGAAACCTTTTAGGAAAGCATGAAGTTCAAAAGCCATGCCTATTATCTAGCCTGTCATAGTAGATGTCTGCTCTGTAGCCTTTTTGGTGACTGGAAATTCACCAAGATCTGTGCACTTGGCTTCGGCATGATGCTCCAGCGTGCCTCATGATACATGCTTTGTCTATCCAGCAACTAAGGATTGTGTTTTCTTTCTCATGGGAGCCCTCAGATCATGATGAATGCCGGTTCCTCCAACAAATGTCAAAGCTGAGTACTATGCTTGTTCATCTGCACTTCAGAATAAGGAAGTTCTTTCCAGCATTTTTTTTTTTTTTAGCTCCAGATTGTCTAAGCCTCTTCCATTTCAGTGGGGTTCTGCTTTCTATGTAACATGGTTCATGGATGAGGATACAGCTCAGTTGGTAGACTGGCTGGCATGTGTGAAGCCCTAGGAGTTCAGTTAGCATTTACCTATGGAAGGGCTGCTCACAGAGTTCCCTTCCCAGGATTATCTATTAATGTTATTATTATTATTTTCCTAGTAGCAAATGAATCTTATTCTCTCACAACCTCAAACTGGCTGATGTCTTGGCCTGTTCTATTCTGTTTGCACCATTAACATCTTCTTAGCTACAAAGCCTGGACCTCTATTCTCTCAGCACTCCATGTGGATAGTCCTGAGCTTCTAGTTGATCACAAGACCACTCAAGATGCCATCGGTAAGTTCAATGTCTGCTGAGGAGGTCCAGTGTCACGAAAGAATGTCTGCTCTGTGTGCTTCTCTTCACGGTATAGTTTAATGCTTGACTTTGGGTGCTTCTCTGCCTAACGTATACATTTCTAGGGAGAAGGAAATACAGAACTTGGAATCTGTTCACATGTGGTACCTTGAGCTCTCTGTGTTGGATACAACTATGATTAAGATGTAGCACCTACCCTCTAGGAGTTTCCCGTCTCATCAGAGAGCGGAGACAGGTACATGTGGGTACTGTTTCCTATGGGGATGTAATGTGGGCATGGAAAGTTCTGGGACACTGGGTTGCACAAGCCCATATTCCTCAGTGACAGTTCCATGGAAAAACAAAGCTTGGTTAGTGGTATTCAGTCCCTGAATTGCAGAGACTCTGTGGTGCTCTTGTTATCATGAATGAGTGAGCATGTTTGCAGATGACTAGCAAGTGGCCTCATGCTCCAGCTGAAGGAAGGACGGGAACTCATTCCATGCTCCACATAGACTGGACCAAATTCCAGCATGTGCTGTGTGCTCTGGCGGCACAGGAGACAGGAATCATGGGCAGTGGGAATCATGGAAAGATAACAATTAAGGTACAGTCTCGCCAGACAGTGGTGGCGCACGCCTTTAATCCTAGCACTTGGGAGGCAGAGGCAGGCGGATTTCTGAGTTCAAGGCCAGCCTGGTCTACAGAGTGAGTTCCAGGACAGCCAGGGCTACACAGAGAAACCCTGTCTAGAAAAAAACAAACAAACAAAAAAAGGCACAGTCTCAAGACATCTGGAGCCTAAATGGGGGCAATTTTAAGTCTCTTTTCAAAAGCAAAGTCAGAGGCTAAAGAGAAGTTTCAGCAGTTAAGAGCACTAGTTGCTCTTCCAGAAGACAAGGTCAAGTCCCAGCACCTACATGGCAGCTCACAACCATCTGTAACTCCAGTTCCAGGTCTTCCAATGCTCTCTTCTGGCCTCTTTGAGCACACATGTGGTACACAGACATATATACTAGCAAAACATCCATCCACGTAATGGTATCTATTATCCAGAAATCTTTCGACTTGCCCTTGCATCAAATCTAGCTGGTATGAATCCCCACATATACTCAATACTCAACAAGCAGGCGAGACATATGATACGGAAGGAAAAGAAAACGCATTCATGTGAAGATGCTATTGACGGAGTGTGGAGGCTGAGTATACACGGGTTCTGAGTTCCATGCTCACAATAGCATAAAAAGAAAGCAAGGCACTTACCTCTATTTGATTGATCAATGAATTGTCAAATTTGAAGCCAGGAATTCTTTTTTCACTGCACACCACACCAACATCTTCAGTGTGCTTGCAGTCAGTGACACCCCAGCCATTGGAGGAGCAAGCTGCCAGGGTCGACTCTTTGCCAGTGCAGTAGATATTATCCAACCAGATGGGGCCTGTGGGGAATGGAGGAGAGAAAGTAAGCATCCTATCAATGTAGACCCAGGTGGCAAGGGCACTACTGCCTTACATGGAATGCCCCTGAATTTTGCCAGGTGTGTAGCTATCAATCAGTCAGTTTTATTGTGTGAGGTTGTCCATCTCATCATAGATCCCCGGAGTTCCCTTGCCTGGACAGGCGGCTGGTGTGATCAGAGGAGGTGGTAGTTTGAGTACAATTAGGACAGAAATCGTTTAATCCTGGAGGTTGTGTGGTGTATCAGCTGCCTTTCTCAATACTGTGATAAACACCTGGCAGAGGCAACTTAAGAGAAGAAGGGTTTACTTTGGTTCAGATTACAAAGGGATACAGTTGATCATGGTGGGAAAGCATGACATTAGGAAGTGAGGTGGCTGGTCATACTGTGTCCCACAGTCAGGAAGCAGACAGAGAGAGGTGAATCCTGCTGCTTAGCTGGCTTCCTTGTTTTTCCCCTTTTTATTCAGTTTGGGATCCCAGATGGTATTGCCCATGTTCAGGGTGGGTCTTCCTTCCTTCGTTAATTCTCTGTGGAAACATCTAGATAGGCCTGCTCAGAGCTGAGTCTCCTAGGGGATTGCAAATTAAGTTGACTTGACAATCAAATTTAAATTTAATTTATTGTATATGTGTGCATGATGTGTATGTGTGTGTGTGTGTGTGTGTGTGTAAGGGGGAATTGGGGGACACATGCCACAGTGAGAAAGTGTGGAGATCAGACAGCAATTTTGTGGAGTTGGATCTTTCCTTCCATGTTTCTGTGAGCCCCAGGGATCCAATTCTGGTGGCCCTGCATGGCAAGCACCTTTACTCACTGAGCCATCTCACCCATCTGGCAATGATGTTTCACCACTATGGGTGGTACTACAGAAGAACAGGGGCTTTTGTGGGGAGTAAAGGAGCCCTGTGTGACTGTCTAAGGAGCTGTCTAACTTACTTTTCTATTGCTGTGACAAAACACTGTGACCAAGGCAACTTATTAATAAAAGTATTTAATTTGGAGCTCATGGATCCAGAGAGTTATAGTTCATGACCATCAGGCCAGGAGCATGGCAGCAGACAGGCATGCAAGATGCTGGAGTAGTAGCTGAGAGGTCACATCTTGAGACACAACCATGAGTCAGACAGCTAACTGGGAGTGGCATGTGCTCTTTAAATCTCAAAGCCTACCCTTCATGACTCATCTCCTCCAACAAGGCCACACCTCCTAATCCTTCCCAAACAATTTCTTCTCATACAGTTCCACTATCTGAGGATCAAGCATTCAAATATATAAGCTTATGAGAGGCAGAGGATAAACCACCACAGGAGAGATGAAGTACTGAGTGAATGCGTGTTATTGACAAGGACCAAGAGCTAGACTCAGAGGAAATGGCAAAGCCTTCCTCTGGTCTGTGTGTGGATACTGACAGTATGAGCAAAACCTAGTGACTACAGCTTCTCTTGGATGACTGCAAAGTGAGACTGACTGCTCCTCCCACCAAAGCTGTCTAACCCCTCCTTCTGGGCTGTACATAGCCCAGAGGCTGACGTTATGGATTGTTGTAGTTGGTACTGCTCCACCGGAACTGGCACAGCCCACCCAATCCCAGCTTTGCTATATGTGTGTCTGTGTGTCTTCTGTTATTTCTTCCTTCCCTTGCTGTCCCAGTCAGATTTCTGGGACCATGCTATGCAGGGTACAGTCCAAACCTGGTTTTGAATTCTGGTTCAGTCTTTTAGCTTTGAAACACAGGTCAAAGCACCTTTCCTATCAGCAAGACGGAGACAACAAGGATTTGTGAGCTGCAGAGGTCTGAGTTGACTAGAGATAGTTCATTGCTGCTCTAGATGGCTTGAAAATGGGAACAATGACAAGAATATGAGTTCTAGTTATACCCACAACACAAGTCAGCCTCACCAGCCTCTGCACATGGGGCAGCTGTAGAAGAAGCCACTCAGGGAAACGTTCATCTGCTCTGTAATCAAGGGTTTGCTGGTTTTAGGGCATATCCACATTCGTCATCACACTGACCTCCAGGAGACCTAGGTGACACTATTGCTCTCTCCTCACAGACACAGAACCTGACTGAGATAGCTCAGTCTCTAGGCACCAGGCCGTCTGTGAGACCAGAAGCCTATGAGTCAGTACTCCACCTAGTGCTTTCTCAGTTCTTTCTTTCACCGTGTCTGGGTAGAGACAGGCTCTTCCATCGCAGCCATCATTACATACTCAGCAAGGTCACTGTGGAACGTGCCTCATCTCTGGTCCTTTCACCTTCCTTGCATTAACAAAAAATTTTATATGCAAAGCGCTAGAGGGTTAACCACGAGGGGACATCTCATTCCATAGGGGTGGTGGTATGGCTTGAGTGTGAGATGTCCCCTGCAGGCTCCTATGTTGGAACACTTGGTCCTCAGCTAGCGACACTGCTTTAGAAGGTTGGGAAACTTTCTGGAGGTGGGGCCTTGATGGAAGGAAGTGAGTCACTGGGGGAGGACCTTAACAGCTTATAGTGTGACCGCACTTCCTGTCAATCCCCTGCTTTCTGTTTATGAAGATGTGACAGGATAGGGCAGACTGGTGGTGCACTCCTTCAATCTCAGCACTTGGGAGGCAGAGGCAGGCAGATCTTTGTGAGTTTGAGGCCAGTTTGGTTGCCATGGCAAGTTCCAGGGAAGCCAGGGTTACATTGTTTCCTGAACACATAACAAAGGCAAGGACAAGAAGAGGTGAGGAGTCCCAGGTTGCATATGCCTGCTACCTAGCGCCACCTTGATGGGCTGTGTGCTCCCAAACTGTGAGCCAATATAATTCTTCTTCTCTTAGGGTGCTTCTTGACAGATACTTGGTCACAGCAACAAGGAAACTACCTATGGCAGGGAGCTCCTGTCAAAACCACAGGAAATAGCAAATGCACTGGTACTGGTGAGGATGTGGAGAAACAAGCCTTGTGTGTCAGAGGTGCTAATGCTGTAGGGAACATCGCAGTGCTCCTGAAAACTTGTTTTTTTTTTATTTGTTTAGTTTTTTGGGGTGGGGGTGGTACTGGGATAGGACTCTAGGCCTTGTGCATACTAGGCAACTGTTCTATCACCAAGTTACGTCCTCAGCCCCAAAACTTTAAAGCTATTATATCACTCCGAAGTCCAAAATCAAAACCAGGTGTGGTGGCTATAGCTGTAATTACAGCTTCTAAGAAGACTGAGGGAAGAGGCTCACAAGTTTGAGGCCAAACCTGGCTACACACTGAGGTCTAGGTCAACCTGGACAGCTTATTGAGACCCTGTCTCAAAAATTTAAAAGAAAACAATCACAGGTGTACTCTAATGTCTGTAATCATAGCACTGAAAAGACAAAGACAAGACCACCAGGATACACACATGCACACGCACACACACAGCACATAACACACACACTCAGCTGCGGGTGTAGCTCAGTGGCTGGATGCTTGTCTACAAGGACCTAGAACGAGAAAGGAAGGAAAGAAAGGAGGGAGAGAGGGACAGGCATTGAAAGCCAGGCCTTGGGTAGGCATTTGCACACCTATGCTTGCAGCAGCACAATTCATAACTGGCATCTCTTGACAAACTGCATACATATAAGGCAAAACTGTAGAAGGGAAAATTCTGACGCATACTTCGACATCCAACCTTGAGGACATTTTGCTAAGTGGGAAAAGCTGGTTACAAGGGCCAAATATGGGATGATTCCTACCTAGAGCTGTCAAGCTCTGAGAAACAGAGCAGAACGGGAATTGCCAGGAGCTATAAGAAGGATGGGGAAGGTTATTTAATGTGTCTGGACCTTCTGGTTTGCAAGAATGTTCTGGAAATTAGTTGCACAAAAATAAAAAAATACATACTTAGCACGACTGAACTGCATATGCATTTCAAATGGTTAAGATGTAAGTTTTCACACATATATTTTACTGCAATGAAAAATGAAGATCTAAGAAAGATGCCAGGTGGCTTTCCAATAGTGATTTTGTACTTGCGGGTACACATCCATGTTTGTGCATATGTGTATATGTAGTGTATCTACCTAGACATGTGTAAGATTGCCTGCATGTGTGCATGTACACAAGTGGAGGCCAGAGCTTGGCATTATCATGCCTTCTTTTGACCTGTACCTTAGTTTTTGCAACAGAGTCACTGTTCAGCTTCCCTGAACCTGGAGCTCATGAGTTCAGCCAGGCTGGTTGGCCCAACAGCTTCACGGATAGGGCTGTCTCTGCTCTCCCATGCATAGGTGTTATATAAGTACAGCCTTCATGTTTAACTTTTATGTGGGAGCTAGGGATTCAAACTTGGGTCCTCATACTTGCACTGCAATCACTCTGCCCCTGAGCTACTACACAACCAGACCAGACCCAAACCAAGCCAAGCCAAGCCAAACCAAACCAAACCAAACCAAACCAAACCAAACCAAACCAAACCAAACCAAACCCAAAACCAAACCAGGCCTGTCATTTTTCCAGTGGTCCTTTTACAGGCCTACAGAAAAGCAGACCTACAAACCTGTGCTGGAGTCCGATCTGCCACAGGCTTGGGTGATCTATAACTTAGCTACTTATAACAAACTTTGTCCTCATTTCCAAAGTCAAAAGTGATATCCAACAGACAGGCTGCCACAAAGACTCAACAAGCTAATGAATAGGCCCAGGGCCACATTTGACCTTTACCTTCTTATAAGTAAAAAACAACACACACACACAAACAAAACAAAACAAACAAACAAACAAACAAACAAAAAACCCCCCAAAAAACAAAATCAAACAAAAAAAACAAAAAAGAAAACAAAAACAAAACCCCAATGTATTCTATGTATTCCATAGTGGGTCGGGAGGTGATCAAGACACTCCCATTATAGAGATTAGACAATTGCTATGTGAAGCTGAGGTTCTTCAAGGCCAAGGAGGACACGGGGCCGGTCTCCTGACTTGCAAGCCTGGCTACAACGTGTGTACTCTGATCCTGCCTGGTTGCAGCTCAAAG